TCCGAGCGTGAGACAGGGCTGCCCAGTGAGGGGTTCTCTGAGGAGCTTCTCTTCAACTTTGAAATTGAGGAGGGACGGGAGGGGGCTTCTAAGGGAAATATTCTCTTTTTCCCCCAAGAAAAATTTCCTTTATTCCCCCTAGAAAATATATCTCCCTGTAGGACAAAAATTGTGCTCCCCACCATGCCAGAAAATGCCTCCCCACATCTCTGAAAAGTTTCCTCCCCCAAAATTCAGTATCTTTCCCTCCCCCCAAAGAAGTAATGTGTTCCCATGAAACATTTCTCCTTGAAAGAAATAATTCCTGATCCTGACTGAAAACCAAAATATTCCCTGTTTATTCTACCAATAATACCATGTGATTTAAAAGTTTTTGTTTTTTTTGGCTGTATATGCCATCTTAAAAACAAGGTGAAAAAACAGAATCTCAGGAAAGGATAAAAGTCACGGAAAGTGCCCAAAATCGCGTTTTAGAGGTCTTGAAATTTCACAATTTTTTGGGGAAGGCCCCCCGGACCCCCCGCTGAATGCGTGAAGTTCCCCCATACATAGAAGGGGGCATCCCTACTTTCCCCTCCCCCCCAAAGCTGGCGTAAGATGTTAATGGCAAGTCAGTCGTTATTTATAAGATTGTCGAATATCAATCGGAGAACTCAATCGACGAATTTTATTTTCAACCTAAAAAGGGTCTTTTCCATTTTCATATCAGGCTGGTGTTAGGCAAAGTAGTCGTTGGTGCTATCTTCTGCATGCTCTCGTAATTGTGTTATGAACACACAACAAACAAATTTAGAGTTTGGAAACTAGTAGAAGAGGGCGCCATTTTACTTAAAAGTGTATCTAACTGTTTTGATGGGCTCCAGGGGAAAAGTGCCCCTTAAGGCTGTTTTCTCTATAGCAACGTCTGTTTTTGCTTACTTTCAGCCTTCGAACATGTTTCGTTTTTATACAAAGAGGACAATTTTTTTCTGTCTCAGCTGCATAAGTGATTTCATTAAGAGGTGATCTGATGTATTTTGAAAGTAACTCCATTTTGAAAATGTCAGCAATACAGCTCTCTTCCCTATCACGCCGGTACATTTGCGATGTTGTTACCTTCCTCAAGACATCATGGTAACCATCCCAAAGAAAAGGTGCAGAGATAAGTACGCATCAAAATGTGGCCCAAATACTCTAAGTAAGTAGTACTTAGTTACTTAGTAGTACTTACTAAGTTAGTAGCTACATACCTTTTTCGCGTTAGTAGGTGAAAAAAGAAAACTTATCCGAAACGGAGTTGGGAGACTTATGGTCTTCACGGCCGCGGGTGTTTCAGACAGCGTTCCCAGTGAAATTTGACACCTGTTTTCCGGGAGGCCCGAGGGATAAGGATATATAAAAATTCTGGCGGATTGACATCCTGGCACTCGTCGCGAAGAGACAAGGGAAGAAGTTGACGTGGCTTTCGCAAACAAACAGGGCGCCTCTCCGCCTGCGCACGTCAGCAAACCATAAGTTTACTGGGTCGACCACTTTTCTAGACACGGACTTGTTCCGGGTTGAAACAGCTTCTCTGAAATGTATTTGATGTGGCGGCTTCCAGGAATTTTTTCCCACTAAAATTTACGTTCATCCCAAAAATATCCACAAAAATGAGCATCCTTTTTTAAGAGCGATTATACACACTTAAGTCCTTTCCAACATTGTGGACATTGTAGACATGCTATGTCCACTTTCTCCCCCTTTCTAAGGGGAGAGAAGAAATATTCTCAGATTCGATGACTTTTTTCAGTAAATATTAATCAAGAGTGGCGGTAGCCACCCCCGGTCGAGGAAAATGATTAATAGATAGACATATTAACGATATCTTGTTGATAAATTTGTTCATGAGGACACATGAATAGGTAAGAATGCGAAATCTTGGATATGTACATATCACATATTGAAACGTTAGGAACTAGTACACATTGATGAGACTTTTATATAGCTTTGTGATTTTCGTTTTGTTGGTATGATTAGTCATATTTGATCGGAAAAGTAATCTAACTGTTTCCAACAATATCCAACAAATTTTTGACACTCTGTGAAAATGAAAATTAGCTTCGTGAAAAATCCTACTGAGTAGAATCCAGATTGCATTTTGACTTCAGTATGAAAAAGTTGCCTCTTAATTTGTTTTTTTCGGGGAAAAACTCCCGAAGCTTTTCCATGCACTTTGAGGTTGGCTGCTCTTTTGACTTCTAATGTGATTAGTTGCTAGGCCTTGGGCGTGGTCGAACTGGTGCGTATTTTATCCCATTGAGAAAATAAAATTCTTGGTAGATTTTGACTTCATAGCCAAAAAATTAGCATTAACCTTTGCGCACAAGTGTGTAGAATCAATGGCAACGATTAAAATTACAAAATTATCAGAAAAGTGAAAACAGGATTTGATTACGAAGAAATGTTTCATTCTGTATAGTTTTTGAACTCTGCGTCAAACGTAAAATTTTCTTGCCAAATTCTGTTTTTACAACTCCTAAATTCGTTCCGAGGTTTTTTCGTCGCCGACGATTTTTAAGACGCATGTACAGGAGCTACTGTCCCCTTCCTCGGCTACGAATCTGTTATCTGCCAAGATCGTTTACTGAATCGGCGGGATATATCGCACGACACTTTAACTACGCTTAGAACGTGGGGCACAATTGCTCAAGGCTTCCATAATATAATACGTCAAACTTACCATAATCTCTATTAAAGTTACTCGAATCTCAAGGAGACCGAAATAATAATAAATAATAAAAGGATAAATGAATTATATTGTTTTTAGGTAAACGATAATATTAGCTTTTTTAAACGGAAAGTAATGTGAAAATTTTAACAAGAATTGGTAAATATAAATTGGACTTAAAGCCCGGGGCGTGGCGAAGCGAGACGCGTTGCGGGAGTTGCGACATAGCTTTCCAATACATCACGAGGCTGACGAGTCGAAATAGATTAGAGCACTTGGGCACACAGTTTTCCAATTGTCGTGGAACTCCATGGCGGGAGTAAGTGTAATTCGATTAACGTCCAAGATTGAGGTAACGCTCTCCGCATTACCGTCCCGAGCCCGAAGCCATGCCCGCACCTCCCCATTCCCCATCGAGGTCAATAATTGGCAGAGCGTCAACCCCCGCCCTCCAATCCGGGGCGGCGGCTCCAATACGTGATCTCTCGCGCGCCTTCCATTCCGCTGCCTGCAATTTGCCCGGCACGCCGCTGGATTTGCATCCGCCCCGCCGCCACCCTCCTCCCTAATCACTTCACGGGGGAGGCTGTGCGGCCAGGACCAAGGAGGGGGAGGGAGGAAGGGGGGTTGTCGAATCGCTGAATGTTGGCAGTAATTGATAGCTTTTTAGCGAGACGCCGCTACGGCCCTCATGGCTTGGCGGGGTGGTCGAGGCGACGTCTGATATCCCTCTAATCCGCGATTCTCGGCCCGGGTTTACGGCGGCCCTATCCATCTATCATAATTGGATCGGTCACTTGACGGTGGTCAAGTTCCTCGACGTTAAGACGGCGGTTTGTACTGCCGGTGTTTCTGCAATTAAGTGACCCCTTTTATCTCGGGATTCGCGGCTTCAGGGACGATGGAATACGTCTGTTGAACGTAAGATCTACAGCCGTGTAAAGAGACTTCTGAGAGATAAAATGCCACGGAAATCAAAATGGTCACATTAAAAAAGTCTGAAATTCACTCCTTAGTGCGCAATTTACGCGGTTAGAAACACGTTTTTTTCAAATTTCCTGCGTCTTGGGCAGTTTCTAATCACCCTATCTGGACGCAAGCAATGGCAATTCGCGATAACTGCCGGCGACTTGCGGTTGACAGAAAATGACAATAATTCTAAACATAGTATTTATCAAAGTAACCCATAGATCGATGTTTTTGGGGGTTTCGAGGGGGGGGGGGGGACTGAGACCCGAAGTTTCGGGTTCAAAATCGGTCGATTTCTTACTTTGGTACATAGTCAGGAATAGCCTTTCCAGGATTTTTCAATTTAATGATGGGAAATCGGCCGGTCCCTTGAGTTCTCGTTACAGAGAGAAAGGACTGTTCTTGAATCCCAAGTCGGTCGGGAACCTCGACTTTTAGGATCATGACACCCCCCCCCCTTACTCCACAAGGAGGGCTGGGAAGTTCCGGGATTCCTTGGGATTAATTCCCTATTCAACCACGCAGTCCCTGACTTCGTACGATCTAAAACAACCGATAAAAAAGCCAGGCACGGGTGGTTTAATACCGATTTTTAGTGAGCGCACAACCAGAGGACTCCCCGCTGATTTGAAAATTAGCGCGTCAATTCGTATATTTTACCGCGCGCGCCACTGAAATTGGCGGGAACCAATGGGAGTGAAGTTTCAACTTGTTTACATTCACGTTCTTTTTGTTAACCAAAATGTAAATAAACGTGGTTTTTCATCGAGTGAACAGATTGGCCCAGATATTCCGGACCACATTTCACCAAAAACTGCTGTTTGTCAAACCGCCGTCAACACCTACCAAGCGGCGAGTAGGCCTTCGGCCGTACTCGGCAATCTTCGTAGCCAATCAGGTTGCCGCTCGCCGCCCGTAATCTCAGTAATCTCGAAGATGGTTCGGCTTCTACACCTACACCACCCTACCCTACCCACCCTACATTTTTCNAGCGTCAGGAGTTTGTCACCAGATGGTGTTTTTTGGACCACTTTGAGGGCCTAGATGAGGGTGATGGCACAGGCTAGAGGGCGGCAGACAAAAATTTTCCGTTTCAGTGCATGCAAGGCTATCGATTTAGGGGGTCAAAACATGTATCCCGAGTTTGTCACTCAAAGTCGTCTGGCTCTCGGACTAAGATCTGCCAGATCTGCTTTGTTTATGTCCGGACTATGTCGCCGTTTGTTTGTTTACATTAGGAGCGAGTTTGACACCGATGACAGATTTTGGTCTTTGATGAGAATTTGGTCTGGAATATCTGGGCCAAACGCAAAAACCTTTTTCATCTGCTCGTGAGTCGTGAGTGTGGTAATTTCCATTGAATATTAAAGTTGCTCGAGGCTCTTGATTTCTTGTTTAAGTGCGAAGTAGTTTATATATGCCTACCGTAATTACATTCTTACAAAGAATAGAAATAAGTCGGTATTCTCTCGTTCAAAAGTCGACGCTTCAAGCAGTGCTCTCATAGTATCAGTAAGTTCTCATCAAAACTTTATATTTTCCTCCTTGCAGTTTCACAAGCACTGCACTGTTCGAAATTATTGGAGCTTTCAAATTCCAGGAAGCTCCAAACTTCCATTGTGATTCGTTCATCAATTTATTGCTTATTTATCATCAGGGATTTTCTTGTTATGTTGTGATCTGCCGCCCACCGCAAATGTCATATAATGTCAGTGCCTCATCGGTTTATTTTAAACTGACAATGAGTCGCCTTAAAGAGGGTTTTCACAGCTGGGAGACAAAATACTCATTGTCTAGAAATAAGACTATGGAAGGTTTCGGTGGAATTCAGAGTCTAAGCTACTGAGTAGTGTCTATTAGGGCCAGCCGAGGTTTGATATTCCTATGACGATTATGCCTTAAAAATGGTTGATTTTATGCTGCCGGTGTCTAGGTGTTATAGATTCAGACATATTTTTCAAGGATTGATCACAGGATGCAATAAATTGTCCTTGAAGCCTTGTAGCCTAGGCACTTATTGTAGAAGATGGAAAACAGAAGAGTTGATCTGACGATAATGTATTTGCGGCGACGTACATTCATATTGATTCTTAAAATTGATAAATCTTTGACCCTCTTTTTGTCAAATCAATTTTGTCTTTCTTTGCTCACTGCACTGCAGCGAAAATTTAATTTTCACTGGTCAAATCTCCTATAGTATATAGGGTGTCGCAGACCACCCATGCCACGCATTTTTCTTGGATGTTTCCGGTCGTACAAAGTCTCGCTGGGGGCCACAGTTTTTGGCTGATACAATTTTCTTCTTCTTTTTTCGACAGCCTTTTGAGAGAAAATAAATTAGGAGCAGTTTAGGGACCAATTGGACGTACTTATGCTAACAGGAACTATGTGCATAGGGTTTGTGTGAGACATAGTTCTTTTTGGCATAAATAAGTCCGATTGCAAATCCACTCTAACATGAATTCCTTTGGTGTATGACGTCTACCTCACAAATTAATGTCTGTTGATTTGGCATCCACCTTCAAGCTGTGAATTTTGGGCACCAGAAAAAAATTCAACTAACTGAAAACCAAGTTCTCATGAAAACTTGTTCATCATCTATGATTCCAAGTACGTATAGGGGTCAATTGTCTTGATTTGATGAGATGCTACACTCATTTATCCACTCACTAGACCTGAGATGAATAACTGGCATGCGGAGGAAAGTGCCTCTCTAATAAGTATGGACCTTCAAATTTTGTCAAATTTTCCCTGATGACATGTGATCAGAAAGTCATCAATATTTTTTTTTTTTAAATTTTCAGAAATGGAAGGGTGAGTTGCGAATATATTTGTCCAAAACCCAATGAAAAAAAAAAAAATGAGCAAAATTCTCACAAATTCTTACTTTATTGTAAGAAAACTGGCAGCGAATATGAGTAATTTTAATGTTCATATGATGTTATTTCGTGGTGCAGCTGAGTAACTGGCTGAAATTGAAGCCACGTTTGATGTCAAGTGAAAACTTGGCACGGTAACCACCTGTGACTTAGCAAAACAAATTCCATTTGACCTGCATGTCTAAAAATTTAAAAGTCCGTACCATAAATATGCACAACCTCTGCTATCTATACCAATAGAAAATTGGATCGTAGTTGGCTGTAGATTTTAATGGAGCGTGTACCATATGTATAATTAGTTAAAAAGTACAAGAAATACAAATAATTATTACTATATAATAATTATTTACAAACGAAAATTCATAATTACAGATTGCCTTTGTGTCGGAAAAAGTATGGTTGCCCGCTGCAACGACTATCCTCAGAACTTTTTGTCTGGTAACTTTGAAGTCAATAACTGCTGCTGAGCTTAAGTGAGTGAAGGCCGGGATTTTTTCTTAAATTCGAGTGAAAATCCGAGGAGAAAAGTAATATTAAGTTTTACAATCACGGCTACGGCTTTCTTAGACGTGGCGGCAGAAAGCAGGAAGGGTTTTCACCGCGTCTGGTCCATTGGTCTCGCCAAGGAACAAATTAAAAGAGGATATTGAAGGGAGCCGAAGAAAATGAGAAAGAAAGTTCATTAAATGCTTTACAGTATTTGTCTTCCTTTCTTACCCTTTCAGTCCGAATAGCTTGAGCTCTATCAGAAACCTCGATTATTATAAACGTGACTCACTCATTCCAACTGTTTATCCTTCGACCCTTTGCGCTTACCGTGGCTCCGTCTTATATTTATATTAACGTATCATAATAAAAAACATCGTGTATCGACGCTAAAAATCCCAATCCATTTATCTATTTTGTGGTGTTTAGGAATCTCCGCTCCTATTTTATTTCTTTGAAAGAGAACTAATCATTTTCATTCCTTGAAGTTTTTCAGAAACTTCGCACGGAGAAGAAAAATTACGGAATTTTTTAAGAATTGACGTACGGAGTTCTCCATTCAGAAAATAAAGTATGACAGAAATTCTGCAACGTCGCAAACCGAGATAAATGGTTTGGGAGTTCACCATCGGTATTATCATAATCATAATGATAGTAAACTTTGGATTAGCGTACTTATCATTGGACTCTGCAAAATGCTCCCACTCACCAGCTTCTTTAAGGCATACAAAAAAATGAGCCCTTGATGACAAATGGACTTTCGAAAAGTGAAATAGGTAGGTTTACGACACTTCAAGATAAGTGTTGATTAGATTCATACAAAAATTGAGATATCGAATAGAAGTAGTCAACGTAAGGACTAATTTACTTTATTTTGCTAGAAAAAAATTAGTTCATTACGTTCAACAAAGTGTTTCGTGAGTCTAAATTACTAGAAAATGTCTGTTAAAAACTCTACACAAAGACCATCCAAAAATAAGATGTGATGAAGTTAGACGAACAGATCCCACAAGTGAGGGAAACTGAAAATCAGGTACCTGCACCAAAGTTTAGAGTTGATGAATTATGAGTACAGAAATGCAGAATTATGAGGAATTTAGCATTACCGTAATGTCCAAAATTTCGTGGTATTGACCTCCCAGAAGTAATTTTAAGTTCGAGATGGAAATACGGGAAATTCGAGAAAAACTCTGATAAAGGTTGTCAGCCATCAAAATAGTCAAGTACAGCGCTTACGATGCAAATGGTTTGAATTGTTGACTCGATGTTCTTGAGAATATTATAGAGGTACGTTTTTGCTAAAAATAATTAATAAAAATTGGTCTCGAACAAAGCGTATGTAATTTCTCAATCTATCTTCAACTCTAAAATCATACTCTCCAAATCCATTATATATCGATTCCCAAGCTTTTCATTGAAATTTGAACCACTGAACTGGAGTACTCGCGTTGGAAAAATCAGCCCTCCGCAGCAATAGAAATTCTACCAAAGGCATAAAGTAACGTAACGTTCTTTGCATAAATAACGTAATCGGAAGACCTGATGACCTCAGATCCAACTTTCCCGTTCAGAGCGCCCGTTTTCCTAACTTCATTCTCGCTTATTAAATTTCTCCGTCTTCCTCGGGGCGAATGTCTTGCAGCCTCTTTCTAATCGCCGCTTTTTACGCGCTTGCTTTTTCGTACTGTTTCACCGATGTAATCAAATAGAAAAAAATGACGTCACCTTTTCCTAACGACTGCGATTCCATTTCCTTTCGCAGCGTTTTCCGTTTCTGCCTGTTTTCATCCAATTACATGCATTCACTCAAAGGAATCGGGAAGTCCTAATTCCCTAATGTAAGCCACAGTTTTCTTGGAATTTTGAGCCCTCAGTCACCATCTCCGAAGCAAAACTCACAATTTTCTGCGCTCTTCAAGAGATATATTCCAAGGGGTGACGTCGCAGTCCTCTCAACAAAATCTAATTTGTCAAAAGAAACTCTGAGGGGCTTCAAAGCATTTATACGGATTTCTCGCTTGATTTTATCCGATTCGCTCGTATTATCTTTTACCGATAAAAGTCATAGAAACGTTTGACACCAAGCAAATATCAGTGATTCGAATATCAATAATTATTTTTTTAAAAATATAATCAATGCAAATCCGCACACGTACTTGAACAAGGGTAATACTGTGCATGTATTTTGATGTTCCTAAGTTTCTAATGCCACCAACTTTCTTTTGCATTCAAGTTCGGAGGTGTATTTGTCGCAAGCAGTTACCAATTGCAATCTACTTCTATTCAGTAAAAACAGTCATGAACTCAGAAAAAAATGAACTAGATACAAAGTACCTACTGACTATCATGCTCGGAATTAAAATGGATTTTTTTCTCTTTTAGAATACATGGCACTAGCTAAGCACACTCTTCAGTGCTTCCAGTGAAATCGGTGCCGTATATCGGAATCGGTTCTGATAGGCAACTAAACTAACTCCCGGGTAAAGCGGAAAGTGTCTCCAAGATTTGAAGGCGCGCGAGTTTGTTCTTTCGCAGTCTTTCATCATTGACACCTTTAATATGCGGCTGCGAATCATTGCAGTCTGACGAATTAACGAGCATGTCGCTTGCAAATTTCCGGTGATCGCTGACTGCCTGTGATATAGGTATTCAAAGGAGCGAAAATGGTAGGAATTGCTATTATTAGAGGACGAATGAAACTGACTGTGAGTGGACCATGAGGCCAGCCTAGCCAGGACACAAAGTGAAGGATGAAAAAGGAGAGAAGATTGAGAGGGAAAGAGGGAACGAGGAACAGTAGGGGGCAAGAAGGGAACAAAAAGGGAGGAATAAAATATAAATTAGTCAATAAAAAAGTGTCCAAATTTGCTTGACAAAAAATGTGTAAATTTTAATTGAGAAATATGGCGTAGTAAATTATAAGTCTTTGAACTATCAAAACCCGTCGAATACATACTCATTTCGATAGCATCTCATTTTTTAGCTGAAGAAAGCCGATGAACGTAAGCCCGGAGTTTGTAAGTCAAAAAACAAAAAACTCAACTAGAAAAAAAGTATCTCGGATCCAGACTCCAGCAGCGGAATTGTTGAAACTTTAACTGGTTCTGTCGGCAGGATAAGACAAGAAATAGCTTTATCTGCGTTGTG